CGTGCGTGCGTGCGTGCGTGCGTGCGTGCGTGCGTGTGTGTGTGTATAAAGTAATAATACATTTAGCTCGGCAAGACGGAGAAGAGTGCACTGTTATCGAAATATGTTGATTCAAAGAGAGCTCTATAAATTTAATTCCGCACTGAAAGAAAAAGTTATGACTATAATTGATTGAAAATAATTAGACGGTTAGAAGGTCTCTTTTTATAATTATTACTGCTACAATGTTAATAATAATAATTACATTTATAGTTCTATAAAAAAAATATAGTTGGCACTGAAAGTGATTATATAAATTGTAGAGTTAAGTTATGGTAATTGTAACTATTTTTTTTCTCTCAGTATGTTACACATTTAAAAAATTTTTCATAGTATTAGTATTGGTATTGGTATTGATCAAACAATAAGTGTCTTTTTTTTTTTTATTAATTTTATGTTTATTATTAGTTTCTTATTTATGGGAAAGAGGGAAAAAGGAAACAAAAAGTCTTCTCAACTGAACATATTGTCTTAGAGAGAGCGTGTAAAAGAGCTGAAATTTAAGAAATTTGAGTCAATAAAACGCGTGGATGATATAATAGACGTATAAAAAAAATGCTTTGACGACACAGTGATCGCACCGACCGCGCGCTTTTGAACTGCCGTCGAAGACAGCGATACCAATCGATGTAATCGATGGCAGGAGAATTACAGCGTTTACAATGCCACACGAGGGCCAGCTCTCGGCGGAGGTTGCCAGTCGTTTAATGGAATTGGAATGGGCCGGAATATGGATGAGTAGGGTAGCGCACATCCCGAGAGGTACCACGGTGGTGTATCGGATTTCCTTAGTCCAGGAGGTCGACGTTGTTTCGAGCAAGGTGCGCCGCCACGGGAGCTACCCATGAATGGACCGGCGGATTCTGAATCCTTACGCGACATCTGGTCTCCTGGGCCGACGACATCGTCTTCTTATTGTTAGCCGTTTGTACAAGCGGGATACTTTGCGCCAATCGAGAATATCGCTCGATTTCCTTCAAGTATCTACCTACGATCGAGAGACAATCCGCCTTTTTTAGGATTTTAAGGACATTGATTTAAATCGAATTTGCTCGATAAGTCCTCAAAGAAGCTAATCGGATTACTAGATTTTTCAAATTGCCGAATCTCAGTGCTGTTTTTAAAATGATAATATTACAGAAAAAAACCAACGTATGCATATTGATATTATAAAATTGTTAAATAAAATATAATATCTTTTCTGATTTTACGATTGAATCGCTGTTGAAAAACTCCAATAACAATGTTCATCTATAAAAGTACAATATTCTACTTTATTTTATTTTATTTATTATATAACTCATATGCGTGCGAGTTATATAATTATAATTGGCATCGAACATAGGTGGCAAAAATTTATTTAATTTCATGCAAATATATCGCTCGATATCTATATACATGTGTTTTATAAGAAGAAAGAAACAGCAATGGCTGCGTTTATCAGAATATTTATTTTGCAACTGTTGAAAGCTTTCTTCGCCGAGATAGGAATTTAGATCCTGTTCCTTTAGATCTAAAAGTATAATTTAATCAGAGCGAAGAAAAGCTTCAACAGTTGCAAAATAAATATTCTTCTGAACGCGGTCAATGATTATCATTTTGACGCTATATTTGAAAATTAGAAGCACATTGTAACTACTCCCTCCGGAGCAAAGCCGGAAGTCCAGTCAAGTTCGATCAAGTTATAGTTATCAACTGCGTCAGTATTATCTTCCATGGACAATAATCACAGGCGATCGTTTGTGCGTCGCAGGGGACTTCCGTTTCGCTTCGATCTTACGGTTCTCCTTTTTTTTCTTGCTCGTGCCATTACGCGCGGACCATTTGTCTCCCGTGGAACGAACGGTCCATTGTCTCGTAAGTTTCTCGATCGAGGACCGCGCCGGAAATCAGCCATCGAAACCGCGCCCTTATGTCCGCACGCACATACACTGTACACACACACACGCACACACATCCACACGCATACATCGCGATGTGTATCTGTAATCTTATAAAAGTGATCCGATAACTATTTCGGTCGAGACGATCCCCCGAAATAGTCCTTATCACTAAAGCTCGTGTAAATAACATAATATACTCTTAGATATATAGGATATAAATTATGACGAAAGACTGGAATTGGCACATCGTCGGTTTCTGGAGCAATTATTTACGCGGGCTAAATGGGACATGTGCTTAGCCGTCGTTAGCGAGTTACATATACAACGGGCAAATCTAATTCTCGATGATTCCAATACGTGGAATCATATGAAACGTTATATCCAAATATAACGTCGAGAATCTCGCAGTTAATTAAGTTTGAAGTTATTGGAACACTACGCCAATATTGCATGACTCGCAGACGATCTTAGCAAGATATTATTCCATTTGGAAGGAAATATAGGAAAATAAGAAATATGATACTCATAAAATCGCATAATTTACGCTAATTTAAAAACTGTTATAATCAAAGGGGAAGAGGAATATGAAAAGAATACGAAAGATAAACGTGGAAATTAAAAACAACACGAAGAAATGTCCTCTTGTATCAAAATTGTACATATAAAGTTAACGTTAGAAAGTGTTACGATTTACTTGTATTAAGTAATCGGAAAAGTTCGTTTGAGAACGTTTATAACAACAATTTTGTAATATAATAACTGATAACGCACGAATTATGCAATATCTATTAATTGCATTTTAAGTGGTTCGATTATGCTAGCTTTATGCTGAACTTTTTTACTCTATTTTAAATATTTAAAAAATTATCTTAAAATAAAAAAACGTTTAGCACTTATAAAATTAATATAACGTAAGTCAGCGTAAGTATATATAGTATAATAAGCTAATAAATATTTAAAACAGTTAAATAAGAAATGTTTAATACTTACAGAGCTAAATATAATAATTAAAATGCAATTGTGATAGACGAGCGCATTATAAATTATGCCACAAAACAATTGTTATAAAAGTATACGTGCCTCTAGCAAACAAATTTTTCCGGTTTTACTTAATACTAGTAATAAGGTTTGAAACTCTTTTGTGATGTCCTTCCTGCTTTTTGCGCCAGTTCAGTCGCATAATTTATGCCTTATAGTATATCTATGCTCGTATTCATATAGTCCTAATATGTCGCACGAGAGTCGTCACTCGTCCTGATTCCTCATTCGCGAATGGAGCCGCACCTGGAGCATAATGGACGCGCTGGAAGAAGAACAGGCAAGGCATGAAGGGGACGAACATACAGAGACAAAAGCACGAGAGGTAAGAGAGCGATCGAGAGGTAGTATAAAAGGAGCAGGAGGAACCTGGACGGATGAAAAGAGAGAAAAAGAGGGGGGGGAAGGGAGAGGGGGGAGAGGGGGCAGAAAAAGACAGAGAAAGAGAGGGGAAGGTGGATGAAGGGAGGAAAAGAGGAGAGCGTAGAGTCCCGTTGACGGAGATTCGACGAAGCAGCGATGTTTAATCGGTGTTGGCCCGCATCAGGTTGATCGAGGACCCCCCAATCGGGTGTTGGAGGACGACGTGGGCCCGTGACGACGACATAGGGAGGTCCGGAGTAGCGCAAGCGGAACCGGGGAGAGGCTGCGCCGTGCCGATCAGGCGAACAATGGAGGCGGGATGCTCATTTGTCTGCGGGCATTGTTGTTCACCCGGCCGGAAACACGAGCCCGTACTCTCCTTTTCCCCTCTCTATCACGTTCTCTGTCTTTGTCTATTCATGAATCTTCTCTCTCTCTCTCTCTCTCTCACTCTCTCACTCTCTCCCCCCTCTCGCTCTCTTTCTCTCCCCCTCGCCGTTCACCATCCGTGCATCCTCCTCATCGACGTCCCCTCTCTCCCGCCGTAGCTTTTTCCAGTACGAAAGTACCGCGATGATTCCGCCAATCGTGTCGCTCGACGTCCGCAGGTCGATGGTGCAAAAATTCGGGATAACCGTTTCCACCATGTTCAACCGCGAGTCGACGCACAATGTTGAATGTGTCGGTCTCGTCCGCTGACTTATCGATCGGCGGAAGCTCGCATTGGGTCCCGCGATGCGTGATTTACGAGAGATTCCTAAGAAGAAGAGATCTTCTCTTTCTTCTTCCGAAAGAATAGGATAGGACAGGACCGAGCTGCTTGTCTAGCATCTAATTTGCGCTGTTATAGCACCTAATTTTCCCTTTGGTTTGACAGGTAGATCTGTCTAAATCATCGGATTGCCGAGGGTCGCTAAAGGTCGTTTATTAGTAACCATTATGGGCTACGGTTAGACATACATAATCTGTAATCTTAACAAGTTCATTAATTTAAACACAAGGTGCGTAAAGCGCGATGATAAAATATTAAAAAGTTTAATTGATTAAAATCTTTCGACAAAAGAGATAAACAATGATATTCGTATATACCCAGTCAGAAATGACAATAGAATCGATATCGAAAGCATCAAATCGACGTCGAATTGATGTCGATTCGATGTCGATTCCATTGTCATTCCTGACTGGGATATTGACGCAATGATACATACCCTACAAAATTAACCGATCATAATTTATTATTTTTCTCATATTTAATTGTAATTGGTCAACTTCTTATGACTTATGGCTAATTACGACCATGGCCATAGTGACACAAGTCGTAATAAACGTTGTTCTATCTTTCTTTGCATTCCATGAGTAACAAAGACAAGAACGATACCCAAGGGACACACCAAGTTGAGAAAAAGTCAAAATGACATTATTTCGACGTCATGAAAATCAAAATAATGACTTTTTGTTATAAT